CTCCGTGTTTATGCAACTAAAGCAAATTTGGATTTGGTTCCTGTCTGAAAGGAAAACAGTGAGGCGGGGTCAGAAGTCACCCTGTTTTTGCCAGAGGAGATCTGAGAGCACAAGCAATGACATCTGTAACTGGGGCCCAGAGGAATTTCAGAGAATCCTTGTAGAAAACTTGCTAAAGAGGACAAGTGAGCGGAAATGAATCTGGCTGTCTCTCTGTCCTAGTTACTATCATTTCAGCAATGTAGATAGAAGAGACTGGAAGACTAGGGTGGAGGTTGCGACATGGGACGAAGGATGGAAATGTAAAGGGAGACCATGAAGGAAGTTGATTTCACTTACAGCATGTGCTAGAAATCAAAGACTTAAAGGAGACTAATATTGAATCCGAATAATTTGGCCACTTTAATCCTTAGGAAGATTAAAATTCCCCCAAACCCCAATTTGGGGATATTGCTTTGGTTTGGTGAAGGAGTTAAAGGAAGGACCTCAGGGCTACTTCATCCACATGCATTTTATGAGTACCCATCCCTTAAAATGTCTCTCTTTTTTTTTTCTTTTTTTTTTCCCTTTATTTTATTTTATTTTTTTTAAAGTTGTAGATTTACAATTTTTTGTGCTTTGGTTTCAATTATACAATGATCAGATACCCATCCCTCCACCAGTGCCCATTTTCCACCACCATGGATAATATCCCTCCCACCCCCATCCCCCCATCCCCCCTGTCTCTGTGGCAGGGCAATCCCCTGTGTTCTCTCTCTCCTTTTGGGTGTTGTGGTCTGCAAAAGAGGCATTGAGTGGCAAACATGTTCAGTCCATAGTCTACTTTCGACATGCATCTCCCCTCCTGGGAGGATCCTCCAAACACCCTTTATTTGGTGCTCCCTTCTCTATCTGAACAGCCCTTTCCTCTAGGATACCCGGCTGGCCTCTAAGTTATGGAGTAATCCTCCTGGTGCTGATCTCAGCTATTCTTGGGTATTAATCTCATACTTTGTTACTTTATATCCCCCAGATGAATGCAATCTTTCTATGTCTATCCCTCTCTTTCTGAAAATGTCTCTCTTTTTTAAAATATATATATATATATATATATATATTTTTTGGGGGGGCTATGCACAGGGGTTACTCCTGGCGATGCTCAGGGAACCATATGGGACGGCACAGGGGTTACTCCTGGCGGTGTTCAGGGGACCCTATGGGATGCTGGGAATTGAACCCCGGTAGGCCGCATGCAAGGCAAATGCCCTACCATTGTGCTGTCTCTTTAGCCCCTAAATATATTTTGTATTGAATATCCATGAGACAGATCTTTTACAAAGCTGTTCATAATTGGGTTTCAGTCATACAATTCAGACTTCAGACTTCTTCATCAAGATCATGAACAATTGGTTTGAGGCTCTTCGTGTTCCTAGAGCGAACAGACGCCACTGGGCTACACTAGCACGCGACAGGGACAAATGGAGACGTTACTGGCGCCCGCTCGAGCAAATCGCCGATTAACGGGAAGTCAAGTGATCAAGTCATACAATGATACAACAGCCATCCCTCCACCAGTGTGCCTTTCCACCCTCCCACCATCCCCCAACACCTCACCCCCACCCCAGCTTGCCTTTCTCTCCTTTTCCTTTTGTGTATTATGATTTGCAATACAGACACTAAGAGGTCATCGAGTTTGTTTAGGGTGATCAATATTTTTATCGGACAGTAAGGATGGAGTAGCTTTTTAAGTGAGTGGCAGCTTTGGGGTGTAGATGTGACTGCCAAAGCGTCCGGAACTACAGGGAGGTGGTGGCAGGGGGTGGGGGGTGGGGGGTGGAGCTAGCCCATCCTGATGCAGAGAAAGCTTGGAGATTTCAGTCACAAAACCCACGTACCAGAATTTTCAGCAGATTATATCTGAGTGAGGTCTGTTTGAAGATAGTGGAGCATGGTGCATGGCCGGGAGCATGGTGACAATTTTGGATTGCTGAAGCAAGCGGCACCAGGCTGACCCGCCCCCTCTAATTTACCCTGGTATGTTCAGCCTTACACGGGTCTGAGATTAACTATGGCTTTTGATTTCTTTCAAGATTTATTTATGGGTCTCTGAGGCAAGACCAATAAACGAGCTTGTATACCTGAGCCGGAGGTGGTTTGTGGGCGTGGCTCCCACATCCCTAATTTTTGGCCTTTTAATTTCTCAGAAACCTTGGTCCCAAGTTATTGGGATCTGGCAATTTTGGGATATCAGGAAGCCTGAAGGTACCACCAGCCTGCTGATGCACTCTCCCGGCAGGTATAGGTTTACCTGTTAGCGGCACCGCACGCCTTACCTCAAAATATTTGAAGGCAGAATTGGTTATCTCCTGGTTCTGTGACGGTTCTCGGGGCCATATGGGATACCCAGGTCGGCCAGGTAGGCAAACGTGCCATCTGCTGTACTATCGCTCCAGCCCAGATATGCTTCCTTATTAAGTGTAAAAAGTGCCTGGATGTCTGGGCACCAGAAAATAAAAAAACAAACAAATAAACAAACAAATAAAACCAGCCACGTGGTGTGGGCTGCAAATGCAGGTTAATGTGATGAAAGCAGGTCTTGCAAGGCCCGCAGGCTGAACTGCAGTCAGCAGAGGGAGGAGATGTGTTGCCGGCTGTAGCCCTGGTCCCCTCTTCCACCAGCACCATGAGTCCATCCCTGGGATCTACAGAACTGCATCTAACTAAGCTTTGCAGATTGTGCTACAGTTCCGCCAGCCAGACAGAGCCGCGGTCAGGGACCGGGCGCCGAGAAATTCTGCGAGTCTGGTGGCAACTGTGTCGTCTCTGGATGCACCAAATTGGGACGGGAGCCTCCCGTTATCGGGACGCGCAGCCTGCGTGGCTCTGGTGGAAGCAGGGTCGGGGTCGCGGTGCAGTTTCCTCAACGTTGAGCCTGCGACGGGCGTTTTCTGCCAGTAACTGATGAGGAAGCCAGCTCAGGGCTCCTATTGGCTGGGTCACCTGCCGCCGGCCAGTCCCGGCTCTCACCCAGGTATCAAGCAACCGGGGGATTTCGGGGTCAGGGAGGCCCCGCGGTCCCGCGGCTCTGTCACCGATGGGAGGCGAGGACAAGTTTTCTCTGCCCTTTCGGGACGCCTGCAACCGCGCCCAGGGCAGGTTAGAGAGAAAAGGACCAGCATCCAAGTCCACAGCGGAGAGTGGGAGGCCGGGAGCACGCCGAGACCCGGCAGGGGTGAATCCTCGCAGGTAGGAAAGCGGGGTGCAAAGAGGCTGCAGCTCCCGGGGGACCCAGGCGGGACGGGAAGCTGGGGGTGAGGCCTGCGCAAGGCGGGGTGCCCGGGGCAGAGGGTCTGCGGCGTGGGAAGGCGCCTCCCTACAGGCTTCCTTGGGGCGCACCGCTTGTTCGTGGGGAGGAGGGAGAGAACCGAGAGAGCTATGGAAAAAATATCGGGTGACAAGCGGAGAAACTCAACGCTGACCTGAGCACTGAGCCAAGGAGGGCGGAAAGCGACCTCCCCCGGTGTCCCCGAGGCTGGCCCCAGCCCAGAAGCGGGCCGCCCAAGACAAAACTTGGGGTCCTGAGGGTCGCAGCAGTCTGACCTAGATCAGAAAGGCAAGCCACTGGGCCTTAAGTGACCGCCCGCGTCTGTCCCCTAGGAGTGAGGTCTCCGCCTCTGCCGGGGAGCTTGACTTTGGTGCTGATGGAGCCCGCTGGTCCCCTGCACTGCTGCCCGCTGCACTCCCTCCTCCTCTGCCTCCTCCTCCTCCTCCTCTGCTGGATGGTGCAGTTGTCAGGTAGGGGTGCATGCCCTGGTCCCCGTCAGCTTCTCGGGAAGGACACTCACCCCTTCATTCAGCAGAGCAGAAGAGTGAAGAAGAAGTACTCTAAATGGGTGCTCGCCCTTTCAATTACATCACTGCGGCCCCATAGAAAAACCCTGAGGGCTGCACCGGTGAGTGCATTGGCTCTTCTCGGTATACTAAGCACTTCTTAGTTACATTTTCAAAAAAAGATAAAAGGAAACATCAGGAATACATTTTGTTATTTTTAAAACTATTTTTATTTGAGGTCTTGGGTCTTTGAGCACCTGTCTGTGCTCAGGGCTTACTCCTGGCTCTGTGCTCAAGGATCATTCCTGGCAGTGCTCAGGGAACCTTATAGATGTCAGGGATTGAACCCTGGTGGACCACGTGCAAGGCAGCATCTGGAGGCTATAATATCTCCAGCCCCAGAAGTAAATGTTAGTCATACATTTGGTTTAACCTCCAATTACTATTATTTTATACTTTTAATCAATGTTAAGGAATGCCAGAGAAACATTTAACATTTTTTGGTTTTTTGTTTTGGGGTCACACTCCGTGATGATCAAGGACTACTTCTTCTGGCTCTGCACTCAAGAATTACTCCTGGTGGGCTCTGGGAACCATATGGGATGCTGGGGATCGAATTGGGGTCAGCCACATGCAAGGCAAGCATGCTACCTGCTGTGCTATTGTTCCAGCCCATGTTAAATATTTAAGACTCTTTGACCCCCAAAATTTCAAAATTGTGTGTAGGGTCCGGAAAGATAGGACCTGAGTTTGATCCCCAGCATCCCTTCTGCTCCCCTGAGCACAGCTGGGTGTGGCACAAACACACACACACCACACATGTGCACCTTGCATTTGCAGCACATGTCGATTAGACGTAGCTGGTGGCCAGCATGTTGGACTACTCATGTTGATAGCACCCGCTAGACCCTGTACTGGATTGGGGAACTGATGAAAATGTCTAAACATAAGGTCTGTCCGAGGGCTCAGTGTGTGGGCTTCCCTATTCCCTTCTGACACAGCAGCAGCCTCAATAATTCATCATCAACAGCCTCAATAATTCCTCCCGAGCATCTGTTCATGCCAACCAGTCACAGCTACTGGTACTTGATGCTCAGCTCAGAAGCCTTTGTGGCCTTTAGGAAGACCAAGTCTGTCCTCTGGAACAGCCACCTCTGTCCTGATACTTGGTGGCTGGAGCCCTTGTCTGACTCTACCATTCTGTCTAACAGCCCAGTTTACAGTGGTGGGACCCGCCGATCCAATCCTGGTCCTGGTGGGAGAAAACATCACATTACGCTGCCACCTGTTCCCAGAGAAAAATGCCCAGGACATGGAGGTGCGCTGGTTCCGGTCTCAGTTCTCCCCCGCGGTGCTGGTGTATAAGGGCGGGCAGGAGCAGAATGAGGAGCAGATGGCAGCGTACCGAGGGAGAACCACCTTTGTGAGCGAAGACATCCAGCGTGGCCGTGTGGCGCTGGTCATCTACAACGTCACTGCCCATGAGAACGGCATCTACCGCTGTTATTTCCAAGAAGGCAGGTCCTATGATGAGGCCATCATGCGGGTGATGGTGGCAGGTGCGTCGTCTCATCAGGTGGGACTCTTGGGGACAGTGGCTCTCCCAACTTCATGCCCACTGTGGATTAGCACGTATCTGCTCAGAACCCCCCCCCCCCTTTTAAATTTATTATCAGTTTAATTTAAAGCACCATGAGTTAAGGTTTCATGTTAAGGTTTCATGTGTCCAGAGTTCCAACACCACACTCAGAAAATCTCAACCGTTTTTCTAACCACCTTTTCCCTACCTTGTTAAGTCCAGTTCTGTGGGGCTGGAGTGATACTACAGTGGGGAGGGCATTTGGCTTGCATGTGGCTGACCCAGTTCAATCCCAACATCCTATATAGTTTCCCAGGCACCGCCAGGAGTAATTCCTGAGTGCAGAGTCAGGAGTAACCCCTGAGCATCGCTGGGTATGACCCAAAAAGAAAAAAACAAAAGTCTAGTTCTGCAAGCCAGATCTGTGAAACCCCCTTTAAAGAGGAAAGTGGCTTCCTTCAACCCAAGAACCAGGCTCTGTGCTCAAGTAGAAGCCAGTGGTGAGACCCAGACCTTATGCATGCAAAGCACATGCTCAGTTCAACCATTGACTGATCTCTCTGGCCTTCATTCAACAAATTTGATAAGCATTTCAAGGGACCGTTTTAGGAACTGAGAGTAAACCAGTGAATGAAATGTTTAAAGATCCTGCCCGTGAGGTGCTCACATTCTGGAATGGCAGAGAGCAGCGAATATCACCCTTAATGAACCTGACTCTTGTGTAGGTGTAGAGTACTGTAGGGGAAGTAGAGCAGGAGAGGACTGAGGGCTGGAGGGAGCATGGAGGGGTGTTATTCTAAATAGAATGGGTAGGGAGTTTTCATTGAAAAGATAGTGGTTGATCAAAAACCGGGATGAGGGTATGCCTGAACCATGTACCTGTGGGGCTCACTGAGGATCTAGAGGGAAATCCCACCTGACACAGGGCCCTGAGAGGGCACCTTGTACTTTGTCATTCAAACTGTCCAATTTTGAGAGAGAAGGGCATGGTCAAGCATTGTAGCAGGCCAGCTGGAATCAACAAGGGTTGCCCAGCATGGTAGAGCAGCAGAATCTTATTTCTCAGTGCATATTTTAATTTTACCCTTTTTTTCCCCAAGTCCCCAGTAGTGTGTTTGCCTTGTGTGCAGCCAGCTGGCCGAGCCGAGTTCGATTCCTCCGCCCTCTCGGAGAGCCCGGCAAGCTACCGAGAGTATCTCACCCGCACGGCAAAGCCTGGAAAGCAAGCTACCCGTGTCATATTCAATATGCCAAACACACTAACAACTAGTCTCACGATGGACATGTTACTGGGCCCGCTCAAGCAAATCAATGAACAACGGGAGGACAGTGCTACAGTGCTTCCAAGTCCCCAAATACTGATTATAGTGACAATAACTTGCTTGAATAGATGACTTCATTAAAGCATCAAGATTTTTCTAATACATTATGTTGTCAAGAGAGTAGCAGGGCTGGAGCAAAAGTCTAGAAGGTAGGACACTAGCTTAGACGTGGCCAACCGACGTTTGATCTCCTGATCCCTGCCAGGAGTCATCCTTGAATGCAGAAGAATCAGGAGTAAATCTTGAGCATCACTGGGTTTGGCCCAAAAGCAAAATAATTAAAATGAAAATGAAAAAGGCAGTGATTAGAAAATCATGTACATTTATCACATTATCATACTCTAGAAGCTAACCATGTCTAAACTGGAATAAGCATGTAAGCTCCATCCAGTCGCCTAAAAAACTCATCAGCAATTTAGGATGGTCAGGGAATTCTGGTGTGAAACGCTAAACAGAATCCTGCATCTGGAGATCAGAAGTTTCTTAAGATCTTGCCAGCCTGACAGGTTTCTGTCTTGGTTATTAACCCAGAGCTTCAAGAAACCAAAGCAACTCTCTTCCCTTGGGGTGACTCTTTAAGAATGAGTTTTCTGGGGCCAGAGAGATAGCACAGAGGTTAAGGACCTTGCCTTGCATCTGTCAACCCCAGCTTGAACCCCCAGTCCCCTGAGTACCTCCAGGGCTCCGTCAGACCTGAGTTAAGAGCCAGAAATAGTCCCTGAGCATCCTCAGTCGTGCCCAGTCCCTCCTCCTGCCACCACACACACAGAGAAACGTTTCTGCAAGATCCTTTGGCTAAGACACCATTGCTGTTCTAACTCAGCCCTGGTCTCTGCTTCAGGACTGGGCTCCTCCCCCATCATTGAGATGAATGGGCTGGAGGATGGGGGCATCCGGCTGGAGTGCACATCTGGAGGCTGGTACCCTGAGCCCCACGCAGTGTGGCGGGACCCTTATGGGGAAGTCGTGCAGGCCCTGGAGGAGGCTTATGCTGTGGACACAGATGGCCTCTTCACCGTCACCCTGGCGGTGATCATCAGAGACTGCACCGTGAGGAACATGTCCTGCGCTGTCAACAACACCCTGCTCGGCCAGGAGAAGGAAAGTGTGATCTTCATTCCCGGTGAGTTCTCTGTGCTCTGGAACTGGAGTGAGAATGAGGAGGAACGGGTGTGGGTGGAAGGGTCCCAGACGTATAGATTATAGCTGACTCTGTCTTTGAAGGTCCTGTACCAGTTGACTAGCCAACGGTGGATTCAACAGACACCCATGGTTGGTTAAGTCCGTGACTGTGGAATAAACTGGAATTAAATCCAGAACCATCCATGTTCAAAGGATCAGTTACAGCTCAAAACACACAAGGCCGGAGTGATAGTACAGCATCTGCCTTTGATGCAAGTAGAGCACCGGTCTTGCATACAGCTGACCTGGGTTCAATCCCCGGCATCCCATAAGGTCCCCTGAGCACCTCCAGGAGTAATTATTGAGTGCAGAGACAGGAATAACCCCCAAGCATTGCCAGGTCGTGACCCTGAGCATAGGACCAGGAAGTTCTGACCACTGCTGGGTATGACCTAAAAACAAAACAAACAAACAAACAAACAACCCCAAACCTAGTAAGCACCTATTCTTTGAGGGTGAATCTGATAGTTTTTACCTCCCTCCTCCATTATGGGTCTTACCCTGTAGCAATTCTGAAGCATTTAGAATACTCATAAAACATGAAGTATGGTGTGGATAAGTGACTTTCCACACCCAATACTCCCTCTGAAGACTGTTCCTGCCCTGGGACCTCCCAAAGGGCTCAGATGTGGCACATTTTCTTTCCATTGACTCACAAATTCATTGAACAAAAACTGAACAAGCATCTCCTAGGTCTAAGACACCATTGCAGAAACTAAAGGCAAATGGCAAAGCAAAGTACCCAAGGGCCCCACCTTCGTGGGGCTTCTGTTCTAGCGTGGCAGAGACCAGTCATGAAGGAATGAAAATGAAGAGTGATTAATGACATGGCAGAGTAGATTCATGGGGATGAGCACTGTAAAAATGATTGATTCGGAGAGGAGAAAGGAAGAACCAGTGACCTGGAAAGGTTGACATTATGAACAGGTATTGGGAAACAGTTTTCCCCAACATGCCCAAACATATTGCACATGAGGTCCAGGCAGAGGTAGGGCGAAGGATGACGGTGCATGGAGAAACCACTCCAGGAGACAGCTGATGGCCACTCACTTTATTGCCAAATACCCACATGTATTGTAGAGGGTCTTGGCTTGAGAGTATGGTCCAATCTAAACTATGGTGAGAGTTAAGCGTTACTGACCTATAACCTTTCCAACTCTGCTTTGCCCCTGCCCAATCCCAATTAAGGCTAGATTCTGCAGGAGTGCAGTTAGGTGACAATTCTTGGGAGATGAGACTCAACACCAGATTCTTGGTACTTGTAAAATGCACCCACCCAGACACTCCCTACTGAGTCACTCTGCAGGGACAGGTCTTATCTGCTATGCAGGGACAGATCTTATCAGCTCTGGTACCTGTTGCATGCTCCACAAACAGGAGGGTCAGGGGAGGACTCACTAAAAAGATGGGGATGAGGGAGCAGGCCGGGGAGCAGGAGGAGCACGTGCAAAGGCCTGCGGAGGAAGGAGCGTGTCTGGCGGTTTCATGGAACCCCAAGAGGCAGGGTGGTTGGGATGGATGGAATGCGGTCACAGTGGAGGAAATAAGTTCTGAGAGGCCGTGGGTCCGTTCAGAAGGGCACTGTTGCCCCTTTGGCTGTTTGTCTGAGTGAGGCAGGAGATGCTGAGGGTTTTGAGCCAACACCCTGGCCTGGTGTAGGCAGCTCTGCTGAGCATCTGGGCAGAAGCGGGGAACAGGCTGTTGGAGATTTGCAAGCAGGTAGCGGTGACAGCTGTGGTGTGGTGACTGCAGTTAACCGGTGAGCTTTCCTCCCCGCACTCCTCTCCAGGCAGAGTCCAGTGTTTCTGCTTTTCTCTCTCCCGGTCCCCCATCCCGCCCCCAACCTCGATAATCTCTGTGAGGCAAACCAGGTAGAAGCAAACTCTCTTGCTCTACTCCGGGTTCCTGGGGGAGAAGCGGAGAGGACCCCCAGAGCTCTTCGTCCTGACTCAGTTCCTCCCTCAAGGGGCTTCCCTGGCTCCCCTTCCAGAGCCCGTGGTGCCCAGCACCTCCGCCTGGACGCCCGCCCTGCTGGCCGCCCTGCCAGCTCTACTGCTGCTCAGCGCCGCCAGCATCTGCCTCATCAAGAAACTCCACAAGGACAAGGAGATCCTGCCGGGGGAAAAGGAGGGGGAAAGCGAAGAGACGGACGATGTAGGTAAGGACCCGAGGGGGGTGACGGTGTGGAGAGAAAGAGAGAGCATCAAGGCAGAAGAGTAGGACAGTTCCCTGACATCCCAAGGGACACAGCTGGGACAGCTGGAAGCCTGGAAGTGGCAGCCAGGCCCCAACCCCCTCCTAGCGTAGCAAATCTGCCTGAGAGCTTGCTTTCAAAGCAAACCTAAATAAGGACTGAGTGTCCCAGCCACTGGCCACTTGTCACTCCTGGTATCGTGACAATTCCCTAGACATAGGTAGAGGGGTGGGCTACATAGGAAAGGCCAGATCTTCGTCTTCTGATATAAACTCAAGTTCTCTGCTATTGAGGACATTCATTCATTTCTGGTTTTTTTGTTTTGTTTTCCTGCAGAGCAACTTCAAGAGGAACTGCGTAAGTTGACCATTTCCTGAGCGATTCCACGCACGGTTTGTGCCCTGCTCCACTGGTTGTTGTCTGATGAAGCCCCCATCTCTGTCCCGTTGCAGGTTGGAGAAGAACCCTCTTAAACGCTGGTGAGAGCCCCTGACATGACCTCAATCCTGAGCTTTCTCCCCACTAGCCAGCCAACAGGACTATTAGAGGAGATGACAAAGGGGGACCAGCTGGCTGGGGGCTGCAAGGGATGGTTTACCCTCAGAAACTTTCCCAGTGGTGAATCTTAGCGCTTCACTCAGGGAATCCCTGAGGCTTCCAGTGAGCCAAGAGGCTTCCTTTCCACCAAAATAATTCATTTCTCAGAATAATTGACTCTCAGGTCTACCTTACACAGTGACTTCTCCCAAAGGTTACATTTTTGTAGTTGTTGCTCTTGGGGTCCTGGATTAATTTGTGTGTAAACTCAAAAAAGGACACAGCAGCGGCAGCAGCTGTCTCTCCTGCCGCCCGCATTGGGTAGTCTCACCCTGCTTCCCCCACCCGGGGGAGGTCGATGATGATGGGCAGACGAAGGAAGGAAACGAGGGCCAGGCTGGTTGGTCGTAGTTGCAGTTTATTCCAATCCTCTCTCCATCCACTCCTGTCTCTGTCCTCTGCCTCCCCTCCTGCTTCTTCCTCCCCCATGCTACTTCATTCTCCTCCTCGATCTCCCTTCATCCTCCTTCTCTGGAGTCTTGATTCTGATTCTCATCTCTCAGCCCACTCTTACAGTCCAGTTAAATCCCAGAGCATGAGGGGTTGGGGTAACAATTACACATAGGTGCAACCACAATCATTAGGGGTAGAATTCTTTCCCTTGGGGACATTGGCTCCTAGGACAGATCCTCATTATCAGATCAATCCACCCTAGAGCAGATTCCCCTGGGTGTGTTTCTCCTCTCCTTGTCTAACTAACATATAAGCATATATAATATAAATCATTTTGTATGGATACAGCAAGAAATACCTTAAACTTGTAGAATTGCCCTCCTAGGGCCATCTCGATCTCAGACTACAGTGCTCTGGCAGATAGTCTTTCCTACCCCTGTCAGGATCCTAGTCTCGTCGTTACTTTTGGATTATGACAGCATTTGTCTATGATCAAACTCTTAACTTATAGTTAAGAATCGTGGCACTTTGGCCTGGCCCATTTCAATGCCAGGGTAGCTCACCGCTTGCCCTGGATCCATTCAGTCCCTCGTCGGGACCCTGCTTTTGGAGTGTTAGGAACTAAGGGCAACTGAGGCTTAAGTCGAGAAAGCAGATGCCTGGGAGTGAATAATATTCAAAGCCAATTAAATCCTAAGTTACAAAGCATAATGTTAATGGTCTTCCTGTATCCATACAAAAAGGGCATTGCTTTAAAGCAAACTGTTCATAAGACATAAGGAGAGGAGAAAGGCAATATTTCACTCATACATATAAAATCATAGATTTCTGAGGAATCTAACCTTACAAGTTAACAGAGTCTGATTAGGGGAAAAGCTGATTAACTGGTTGGGGAGGAGAGCATAGGGAAGAATTTACAGATAAACACAATGGAATGGAAGTGCCTCAGGAGCACTGTAATGGGTGTAACCTGATAAGCCTTGTGGAGAAAGGACAAAGCAATGTCATCCTACAAATTTGAAAGAAGACAATACTGGTTTGGCTGTTTGTAACCTGGGAGATGTTAGACCCCATATAGTTGAATAGCTGAGTGCTGGGAGAGGCAAGTGGCTTCCCGAAGCCTGTTTCAGGATGTCCCGCTAAGTGAGGGGAACTGCACCGATCTGAAACGAGCACAGGGACTCTGTGACTGAGCCAGAACCGGAGGGGCTTGTGCAAGCGGGAAAGACTGGAGCCGCCGGCCCCTCTTCCTGCTAAGCACATTGTAGCGCCAGATTCATCATCTAGCTCCAGATTCTGTGCCAAAGCACCAAAGAATCCCGGCTTGACTGTAGCCTCGGAATTTTCCTCTGTGGGGAACTTCAGGACAGTCGTAATCTGTCCTATCAACTTTGAGTTAAAAGAATATGATTTCAGGGCCGGAGCGATAGCAAAGCAGGAAGGGCATTAGCCTGGCAAGCGGCCAACCTGGGTTTGATCCCCAGCATCCCATATAGTCCCCCCAGCACCGCCAGTACTAATTCCTGAGTACAGAGCCTGGAGTAACCCCTGAGCATCGCTGGGTGTGACCCAAAAAGAAAAAAAAAAGAATATGATTTCGACACAGTACAATGCAGACTGGGTAGTAATAACTGCAGCCGAGAAAGGTCTGAGCAGTGTGCCCTCTGCAGGGAGCTCAGGGCTGCGGGTGATAGCCTAGGTTGTCGAGACAAAACCAGATGGAGATGGTTCCTTCCACTTTGTTCCCTAAAATCCTCTCTCGCATCAGGTTGGTTTTAGGGGATAACTGTCCTTTTTGAAAGTTTCTTAGATTTATATTAATTATAATGGGAGCTATTTATGCAGCCCTTATTGTATCACAGAACTAGAAATTTTGCATTGATTATTTCAATATTCTTTTAAAACATTTTTTACAATTGAATCACTGTGAGATACGCAGTTACAAAGTTGTTCATGATTGAGCTTCAGTCATAGGATGCTCCGATACCCGTGCCTTCACCAGTGTACAATTTCCCTCCACCAATGTCCCTAGTTTCTCTCCCACTACCATGACAACTGTCCTTTTAATTTTAAAACAATTTTGATTTGGTTGGTTCGGGGGCCACACCTGGCTTGCTGAGGGCTTACTCCTGACTCTGCTCAGGGACCGTTCCTGAAAATGTTCAGGGGAACATTTGTGGTGCTGGGGATCAAACAGGGCATGCAAGGCAAGTGCCTAAACCCCTGTCCTACTCTTTGGCCCTATCCTTTTAAAGGTCTTTTGAAGAGTGCCCTTAGTTATTTAAGCCCATTGTCACCTGGTTCAGTAGAAGTACAGGGGACCAGTGAAAGGAATCTGGAATCTGGAAAATGAGAAATTAGCCTTCATGCTTGCTTGAGAGAACAGGAGGTTAAACCAACTTAGTGTGGTTCTTTTTTTTTTTTCTTTTTTATTGAATCACTGTGAGGACAATTACAAAGCTTTGAGGTTTAATTGTCGGTCATACAATGATCAAACACCCATCCCTTCACCAGTGCATATTTCCACCACCAAGAACCCCAATATAGTACACCATCCCAACCCTTCTCAGGCCTGTGAGGCAGATGCTTTCCACTTATCTCTCTCTATTTTTATTACATTCATTATTTTGACAACAGATGCACCATTATTATTTGGAATGTCCCCCCAACAATCATACCTGCTGAAAAGGCATCGTGAAATAATTTATTTTCTATTGCTGGTTATGAAGACCATTTGATGTAGCGAGGCCGCTATCGGATTTTGGATTTCTGATATTTTACTAATTAAGTCTGGAGGGATTTCTGCCAAAAGCCGCATAGTTCCGAGATTGGTTTGTGTGCCTCTGGGTCCATGGCCGTGCCGGAGAGCCGCTTGTGGGGGGCAACTCATGGTCTTGGCGGGGCGGGAAGCAACTTAGTGTGGTTCCAACCAAAAAAGCCCCTTGTGCTGAATAGAAAAAAAGAGAAGGTGGGAAGGAAAGTGTTGAGAAAAAGTGGGAGCCTTTTATTTCAGCTCATTTGCTAAGCCGGCTCTGTCCCCTAGAACCTGGATTATCCCGACCTGAGACCACGTTCTTGTCACACGGTGTGCCCTGGGTGGTTCTGATGGGCCTGCCTGGGATCTGGGAGCGGAGCGTCTGTGGGAAAGGTCACCCCACTGGCATCCTGGGGCCTCTGTGGGCACTGGGCTGGCACCTTCTCCTGAGAGAGCCTAAACCCAAGACTTCTCTGCAGCTGATGTGCTCCTGGACCCGGACACGGCGCACCCGGAGCTCTTCCTGTCAGAGGACCAGAGGAGCGTGAGGCGGGGACCCGGCAGGCAGAGCGTCCCTGACAACCCGGAGAGATTCGACTGCAGGCCTTGTGTCCTGGGCCTGGGGAGCTTCTCCTCAGGGAGGCATTACTGGGAGGTGGAGGTGGAGAATGTGATGGTGTGGGCCGTGGGGGTTTGCAGAGACAGTGTCGAGAGGAAAGGAGAGGCCCTGCTGGTTCCTCAGAACGGCTTCTGGACCCTGGAGATGTTTGAAAGTCAGTACCGGGTCCTGTCCTCTCCCGAGAAGATCCTCCCACTGAGAGAACGCCTCCGCCGAGTGGCCGTCTTCCTGGACTATGAGTCTGGAGACGTCTCCTTCTACAACATGCGGGACAGGTCGCACCTCTACACGTGTCCCCGTGCACGCTTCTCTGGACCCCTGAGGCCCTTCTTCCGGCTGGGGTCTGATGACAGTCCCCTCTTCATCTGTCCGGCCTTCACTGGGGCCCAAGGCGTCACCGTGCCGGAAGCCGGCCTGATCCTTCATCGAACTGGGACTGAGCACGACCCTCAGACCCAGTTCCTCAGTCCAAGAGTCCGGTAGGGTCTCCCCGATGGTAGCACCACAGGGCACAGCACTCCTGGAGGCAACTGGCCCTCCCCTCTGGTCACATTGATGTCGGTGGACCCCACGGGTGGCTCACATGAGTTGGGATGAGAAAGTTGGTCACTTTCTCCCGATTCACCTCTGCCACCCGGGACCCAGGGTTACTGGGTTCTTGTCTCACTCGCAGAAAAGAATTTCAGTAGACAAGCAGTGAAGTAAAACAGATTTTATTTGGAGGATTTTTGAAGGGAAGGAGGGAGAAAAAGTGGGAGAGAGTGGAGAGTAAGAGAGACGGAGTAACGTGCTCAAGAGAGAAGGTAGGATTCTCCAAGGGTGGAGAGAGCCCCTACACACACCCCAGCGTTAGATAGGAAAGTATAAAAGTCCACATCTCAAGAGGGGAGATGCGGGCGACACATGTGCTCAGGCACGGCATGTGCTCGGCCATGTGGGCACAAGCAGCACAAGGGCTCAGGCAGCATATGTGCGCCCTTCCTTTGTTCAAGGACACCTTTTGTAGATTCTTCTCGGGTTGTCTTGATCCGCAAGTTCTGGAGTCTTCTCAGGGCTGAATCACTAAAGTCAATCAGATTAAAGGAGAGGTCCGAGGATTTTCAAGGAGAGGAACTTCATGGGGAGGGGTCCAACCTCCAACCTCCTCAGGGTCTGCTGAAGGGCTGAATGTCTTATCCAGGTCTGTTTTCTGTATCCAAAGGATGGATCAGTCTTAGGATTTTCTTCCCAGAAGTTCTGTTGACCTACGTTTTATTGCCAAGGGCTTTTCCCTGTCTACCTGCCTACATCAACACCAGAGGCCTCCCATGCACACCCCAGCCCCAGCCTCTCTCCTTAGGCTGTTGTGTGAGTCTGTCATTTGCCTGAGCCAGAGGCAGGATCCGGACCCGGGAACAAGAGGGCGACCACCCACTGCCAGCCATGAGGAAAGTGTGAGAAGTGACACAGTCAACCTGACGTCAGATAGCCGGCAACAGGAAACACTGGGATGGAAGGAGGGGTGGGGAGATGGAGGTTGGGGGGTGGGGGAACAACCACAATGGAGGTCAGAGATAGAAGCTGCTAGAAGAGTGTTGGAGGGGCAAGGCTATGGGTGTGGTCAAGCTCCCTCTTGACTGAGCCACCCGGGGTTCCCGGGAGGTAAGGATCATTGCTAGCCCCCACCTCAGTATTTGCAGGCCCACATGGAAGCTTCCAGACCAAGCACTGAGCAGGAGAAAGGGCAAGGATGGAGCTGGACCTGTGGGGCCCATCTGGCCACGATCAAGCATCAGGCAAGGCCAAACTCAGGTACTGGGCTTCACGTGGGGTAAGGTCCCAGTTGGGCAGTGAGTCCTCAACCACGTGAACTCCCCAAGGGTGGGGTTCAGTGGGGACAACAGCAGTTCCCAGCTTTGGGGACGTAGGGTGTCCTTAGATCCTTAAGGAATTAAATATCCTAAGTGAAATGTCTGGGAAACTATTATAAGTATTATATTATTATACTGTTGTAAGCTGAGGACCCAGAGACCTTTTGTCTCTTTGGGTTATATCTGTCAATATTTATACAACAAGAGATTAAGAGGGAGATATTTAGATTATGCTATATTTATATTTAAATAAATAATATACCATTTATAGATATATTTATAACATATATGTTTTGTGAAAAATCACCATTGTTTTCACATGCAAAATAAATCTTGTGGAGAAATGTGACTTTTTAAAAAAAATTTTTATTAGTGAAACACCATGAGGTACAGTTGTAGACATGCAAATTTTTGTGCTTGGGTTTCAATTATACAATGATCAAATACCCTCCCTCCACCAGTGCCCATTTTCCACCACCATGGATCCCAGTATCCCTCCCACCCCCATCCCCCCCATCCCACCCTGCCTCTGTGACAGGGCATTCCCTTTTGTTCTCGCTCTCCTTTTGGGTGTTGTGGTCTGCTAAAGAGGCATTGAGTGGCAATCATGTTCGGTCCATAGTCTACTTTCAACATGCATCTCCCATCCTGGGAGGATCCTCCCAACACCCTTTACTTGGTGTTCCCTTCTCTATCTGAGCTGCCCTTTCCCCTAGAATGCCCAGCTGGCCTCTAAGCCATGGAGTAATTCTCCTGGTACTGATCTCAGCTATTCTTGGGTATTAATTTCCTGTTTTGTTACTTTATGTCCCCCAGATGAATGCAGTCTTTCTATGACTATCCCTCTCTTTCTGACTCGAAATGTGACATTTTTAACATTTTTGCAAACCTAATGTTTGGCTGACCAGAAGATGATGTCCAGGTCCTCATTTCTACCTCCACATGTCCCAGGCTGTGTAGTCGCTAGAAAATACTATTGTAGGGGCAGGAGAGGAAACTCAAGGGGCTGAGCACTTGCTTTGCATGTGGGAGGCCCAGAAGTCACCTCTGAACACAGAGCTGGAAGGAGAACCTGAGTATTGCTAGTTGTGGCCCAAAATCCAAAAAGGAAAAACAAGAAGAAAACATCACTGGCTACCCTAGTGAGACAGAGCAAAACTTTAAGATCATATTCTCATCATTTGTTTGTTTGGGGGCTGTGGCTGTGTTCAGGGACTACGCCTGTCCTCGCAGAGGGTCACTTCAGGGCCTCCCACAGGCCAAGCATTTACGCCAGCCCTTTGAATTAGCTCCCCATTTCTAATGTATTATTATTATTGTTGTTGGGTGAAGTGATAGCACAGTGGTTTGTGCGCAGCCGACCCTGCCAAGCTGGGTTCGATTCCTCCACCCCTCTTGGAGAGCCCAGCAAGCTACCGAGAGTATCTCGCCTGCAAGGCAAAGCCTGGCAAGCTCCTCGTGACTTATTAGATAGGCCAAACGCAGTAACAACAAGTCTTATGATGGAGACATTACTGGACCCGCTCGAGCAAATCGATGAACAACAGGGGGACAATGCTACACTTGTTGACTGAAATAATATTGTTGTTGAAATAATATTATCCATCCTTGCAGATCTTTAAAATCTAAGAGACACCGCCCACCTCAGAAATCAGCAAACTATCTCTTTTAAAAGATTTAAATTAAATTTTATAGTAAGTTTTCTAGATACAAATAATTACAATACACACTGGTGGGGATTCCTAGCACAGTGATTCCCACCTACCCCTTTTTTTGTTTTGGTTTTGGGGGTCACACCCAGCGGTGCTCAGGACTTACTCCTGGTTCTGTGCTCAGGGATCACTTTTGGTGGGTTCAAGGGACCACATGGGATGCTGAGGATCAAACTGGGTCAGCCATGTGCAAGGCAAGCTCCCTGCCATTGTCACTCCAGCTGATTCCCCCCTTTGCCCTTTGTTTTTTGTCTTTGTTTTTTGGGTCACACCTGGCGATGCTCAGGGGTTATTCCTGGCTTTGCACTCAGGAATTACTCCTGGTGGTGCTTGGGGGACCATGAGGGATGCTGGGAATCGAACCTGGGTCAGCTGCGTGCAAGGCAAATGCCCCACCCGCTGTGCTATTGCTCTAGTCCCATCCTCCCTTTTTTTGAAAGTAGTTTAACTTACAGCCAACAACCTTTGGGGATAATGCAAAAGGCCCAGGATAGAGAATCCAGCAGTTAACCTAAAAGAATGGCTTAAATGGTTTACAAAATCAGCCATCCTGTGCTAAGACTTTACAGGGGGGGGGGAATATATATATATATATATATATATATATATTTATTTCCAAAGTTCAACACCAGGATATAGCCCAGAGGGCTAGTGTGCATGCTTTGCATGCAGGAGGACCCGGTTCAATTCCTGATTCAAAATCCCATCCCCCACCTCCACCTCTGCCATCCCCCCCACCCCCACCCTGTCCCCGATGTCCCTAAGCAATGAACCAGGAGTAGCATCGCTGGGTGTAGCCTCCAAAACAAAATAAAAATCCAAAGTTTTGTTACCACAGGGTATGGAAGAACACATCTTGCAAAGTGTTAGGACACTGAAGTAGTTTATTTGTTAGGATGGAAGGTCAGGTTATGAGTGTGTGTGTATGTGTGTGTGCGCACGCACGCTTGTGAGTGCTGTTGTTTTTGGAATTGCTGTTAGGATGTGATTTGGCTGATTTTTAATGAAAAGCAACAGACAGCAAATGACAAAACACGAAAACAGTTGTGTTCAGCTTTGACAAGTGGCAACTTCAGTGTTTCAGAATTCCGTCAATGCTTTGAGTGGGTTTGTCTTTTAATTCCAAAAAACACTTTCAGATAAAGTGGAAATGAATGAATTCAAATACCATGAAGAGGCCCCTGCATTCAGAGCAAAGATTGTGTAACGGGACAGGCAGGAGACCCCAGCAGGAGCAGATCATACAGGACATCATATCAAAGTACCAAGACTCAACAGGAACCAAATCTTACTGAAAACCAAAACTCCAATGAGTAAAATGTCTGAAGTCACAAGTGTGTGTGTGTGTGTGTGTGTGTGTGTGTGTGTGTGTTTATGTTAATTCCCTCTTGGAAGAAGTATTTCTCATTCTTATTATCATTGAAAACTAGTCTATTTATTTTTTACTTTATTTATTTGGGGGGGGGGGAGTTGGACCACACCTGGTTGTGTGCAGGGTTTACTCCTTGCTCTGTGCTCAGGGGACTGTGCTCAGGGGATTGAACTGGAATAAGTCACATGCATGACAAGCACATTAATTTCTGTACCTTCTCTCAGGCCCATGAAAAATTAACTCAATTTTCCAGGGTTTCCTTCCTTTTTCTGCACTTACAGGTTGTGGTGTGAGGAGGAGCACAGTGAGAAGAAAGGGAATACAAACCGAGGAACTCTCTCCCTTTCTTTGGGGTCACTCTCAGGTTTGGAATAGTGATCCCAGCTGTCATGTTAGCAACCCGATCTTTGCCCTGACTGTGCCTTACAGCCACTCCAACAGGAGAAAATCCAGAATCAAGGTCTTCCATAGAGGGGCCATAGTACAGTGGGTAGGCACTTGCCTTGCATGCCGCTGACCCGGGTTTATTCCCTGCTATCCCATAAGACGCTCC